AATTATATATATAACATGGACCCCCCCCATAAGATGGGATCACATAGCGTTATTCCCCATACCCCTTCTTTAATCGCAAAAAAATTTTTCCCCGCATACCCCTTTAAAAAACCCGTCACCGATTTTGTCCGAGAGCGTCCAATGTGCCCCTCAGCCCGCCTCACATGTGCCGCCCGTGCATTGTTTTCCCGCCACCTCCGCGGTAAATCCAAGAACACTGGAATATTTCGTATTTTCAGTGTTTTCGGTGCTGTTTTGGAAAATAAGTGGACCATGGGCCCCAAGAAAGCTTCTAGTGCCAAACCTCACCAATAAGGGTGAGAATTCCATTGAAATGAAGAAAGAGTCATTGATAGTATGAAATGGAGTGCGTATCGCCGACCTAGTCAAGGTTTTTCAAGAAACCCCCAAACACACGCTACATTGTGGGGGACCAGAAAGACAAAAAGGAAGACTGTTCCTTTTTCCAAAGGTTTAACTTTTTTTGCAAAGATCGCAAAAGTAGGAAAAATGTTGAGGACCCTTTGGTGTGGGTAAAAGAAAAACAGCTAGCAGGGATAGCGTCTTCAAGCGTCATATGTGAAAAGGCTAGGAAGTTCAGAGGATTTAATTAAAAAAAACCTGCAATATGATAGTAGGAATTTAAAGGGCCCGCAAAAGGTTTGGTTTGGGGAGATTTAAGAAGCGTAGGGCATCATAGGTGATAAGCTGGTGAGGGTGTCGTTTGGACCACAATGCGGCTGAAAAATATGTGCAGGAATTCAAGGGGTCATAGACAGTGAAAGGGTGGGAAAACCCGAACAGTGTTTAATTGTGATGAAAACAGGCCTGTTCTGGAAGAAAATGCCAAGCAGGACCTACATTACTCAGGAGGAAAAGGCACTCCCAGGACATAAGCCTATGAAAGACAGGCTTACTCTTCTCATGTGTGCCAATGCTACTGGTGATTGCAAAGTGAAGCCTTTATTAGTGTATCACTCTGAAACTCCCAGAGCGTTCAGGCAAAAGAATGTCCTCAAGGATAATTTGTGTGTGCTGTGGAGGGCAAACAGTAAGGCATGGGTCACTAGGGAATTTTTCTATAACTGGTTACACCATGCATTTGCCCCCAATGTGAAAGATTACCTAACTGAAAAGAAATTAGAACTTAAGTGCCTCCTGGTGTTAGACAATGCCCCTGGTCATCCTACAGACGTGGCAGAGCGACTTTATGGGGACATGAGCTTCATTAAGGTGAAGTTTTTGCCTCCTAATACCACTCCTCTCCTGCAGCCCATGGACCAGCAGGTTATTTCCAACTTCAAGAAACTGTACACAAAAGCTCTGTTTGAAAGGTGCTTTGTAGTGACCTCAGAAACTCAACTGACTCTAAGAGAGTTTTGGAGAGATCACTTTAATATCCTCAATTGTGTAAACCTTATAGGTAAGGCTTGGGAGGGAGTGACTAAGAAGACCTTGAACTCTGCTTGGAAGAAACTGTGGCCAGAATGTGTAGACAAAAGGGATTTTGAAGGGTTTGAGGCTAACCTGAGATGATTATGCCAGCTGAGGAATCCATTGTGGCATTGGGAAAGTCCTTGGGGTTGGAGGTTAGTGGGGGATGTGGAAGAGTTGGTGGAGGAGGACAATGAAGAACTAACCACTGATGAGCTGATAGATCAACTTCAAGAGCAAGAGGCCAGACCTGGGGAAACTGGTTCAGAGGAGGGGAGAGAGAAATTGAAGAAGTTGCCTACTACAAAGATTAAGGAAATCTGTGCAAAGTGGCTTGAAGTGCAAACCTTCATGGATGAAAATCACCCTCACACAGCTATTGCAAGCCGTGCTGGTGATTATTACACTGACAATGTTGTGAAACACTTTAGGCAAGTCATAAAGGAACGAGAGGTACAGGCCACTATGGACAGATATCTTGTGCGAAAGAAGTCCAGTGACTCTGAAGCGGGCCCCTAGTGGCAATAAAAGAAGAAGGGAAGTAACCCCAGAAAAGGACTTGCTACCTCAAAGTCCTAATGGAAGGGGATTCCCCTTCTAAACAGTAAGAAGATAATGCTCTCCCCTCCTCCCATCCCATCAATCATCACCAGATCTTCAATAAAAGTAAGTGTCATGTAAGTGTGCATGCCTTTTTCAGTTTGTGTGTATTAAAATTAACATTTCATGTGGTAAAAAAATTTTTTTTTCATACTTTTGGGTGTCTTGCACGGATTAATTTTATTTCCATTATTTCTTATGGGGAAAATTCATTCACATAACGATTATTTCGCATAACAATTATCCCTCTTGCACGGATTAAAATCGTTAACCGGGGGTCCACTGTATATATATATACATGTCATGCCGAATATGTAAAACTGGTCAATTAGCAAGAACTCATTTAAAATTAAGTTCTTTCTAAAATTTTCTCTTATACGTTTAAAAATAATTTTTTTTCATTAATGCTAATGTAAAAATTTATAATTTTGCATCAAAAGAATCTTAGAAAACTAACCTAACCTTATTATAGCAAGAACAATTTATTTTAGCCTAATTCAACTAAATATATTTTATATTTGTTTACGATCATTTAATACTAAACAAACAGTGAAATATATTTTTTTAGTTAGGTTCAGAATGATTTTGGCGAAATTATTGCATACACAAAATTTCGTTTGTCTTATATGGCAAGATGAGCGTTGCTATTTAAGCCAAGATCGCAAGTTCTACCTATTCAGCACGATAGATAGATAGATAGAATATATATATATATATATATATATATAATATATGGAAGGGGGACAAGAGATATTGCAAAAATTATAGGGGTATAAGTTTACTGAGTATACTAGGGAAAGTGTACGGTAGGGTTATTACTGAAAGAATTAGAGGTAAGACAGAGAGCAGGACTGCAGATGAGCAAGGAGGTTTCAGAGTGGGTAGGGGATGTGTAGATCAAGTGTTTACATTGAAGCATATATGTGAACAATATTTAGATAAAGGTAAGGAAGTTTTCATTGTATTTATGGATTTAGAAAAGGCATATAATAGAGTGGATAGAGGAGCAATGTGGCAGATGTTGCAAGTATATGGAATAGGCAGTAAGTTACTTAATGCTGTAAAGAGTTTTTATGAGGATAGTGAGGCTCAGGTTAGGGTGTGTAGAAGAGAGGGAGACTACTTCCCGGAAAAAGTAGGTCTTAGACGGGGATGTGCAATATCACCATGGTCGTTTAATATATTTATAGATGGGGTTGTAAAAGAAGTAAATGCTAGGGTTTTGGAGAGAGGGGTGGGATTAAATTATAGGAAATCAAATACGGAATGAGAGTTGACACAGTTACTTTTTGCTGATGATACTGTGCTTATGGGAGATTCTAAGAAAAGTTGCAAAGGTTAGTGGACGAGTTTGGGAGTGTGTGTAAAGGTAGAAAGTTGAAAGTGAACGTAGATAACAGTAAGGTGATGAGGGTATCAAATGATTTAGATAAAGAAAAATGTTGGATATCACATTGGAGAAAAGGAGTATGGAAGAAGTGAATGTTTTCAGATATTTGGGAGTTGACTTGTCAGCAGATAGGTTTATGAAGGATGAGGTTAACCATAGAACTGATGAAGGTAAAAAGGTTAGTGGTGCATTGAGGTATATATGGAGACAAAAAAAATGTTATCTATGGAGGCAAAGAAGGGAATGTATGAAAGCATAGTGGTACCAACTCTCTTATATGGGTGTGAAGCTTGGGTTGTAAATGCTGCAGTGAGAAGGCAGTTGGAGGCAATGGAGATGTCCTGTCTATGGGCAGTGTGTGGTGTAAATCTTATGCAGAAAATTCGGAGTGTGGAAATTAGGAGGTGTGGAGTTAATAAAAGTATTAGTCAGAGGGCTGAAGAGGGGTTGTTGAGGTGGTTTGGTTATTTAGAGAGAATGGACCAAAGTAGAATGACATGGAGAGCGTATAAATCTGTAGGGGAAGGAAGGCAGGGTAGGAGTCATCCTCGAAAAGGTTGGAGGGAGGGGGTAAAGGAGGTTTTGTGGGCGAGGGGCTTGGACTTCCAGCATGCGTGAATGAGTGTCTTAAATAGGAATGAATGGAGATGAATGGTTTTTGGGACCTGACGAGCTGTTGGAGTGTGAGCAGGGTAATACTTTGTGAAGGGATTCATGGAAACCGGTTATTTTTATATAGCTGGACTTCAGTACTGGAAATGGGAAGTACAATACCTGCACTTTAAAGGAGGGGTTTGGGATATTGGCAGTTTGCAAGGGTATGTTATATATCTTTATATATGCTTCTAAACTGTTGTATCTGGGCACCTCTGCAAAAACAGTGATTATGTGTGAGTGAGGTGAAAGTGTTGAATGATGAAAGTATTTTCTTTTTTGGGAATTTTCTTTCTTCTTAGGTCACCCTGCCTCGGTGGGAGACAACCGGTGCGTTGAAAGATTTGTGAAGTCAGATTACGTTGTAATAAACAAGTGTCAATGAATAGATAAAGATAAAGATGGACAGGGGTGTGTGAACCACAGTGTGTACATTGAGAATGTGATGGTGTAGCATCTCCATCTTACAAGAAGAAAGAGTTATAGCTAGTACTTACTATATTCCATCACAGGCACCAACTGTAACCCAACTGAACTCCTTCCTACAGCCCAGGAGCTTTAACATTATATCTATTGCTGCATCCTTCAAGGTCATATAAAATACACGTAGTGTTAAAGCTCCTGGGCTGTAGGAAAGAGCTGAGTTGGGTTGCAGTTGGTGTCACTGATGGAATACAATAAGCACTAGTTGGAACTGCTTCCTCTGGTAAGATGAGTGATGGTGACACTAGAGCATCGTATTCTGAACTTACACACTACTAGTTGGAACTGCTTCCTCTGGTAAGATGAGTGATGGTGACACTAGAGCATCGTATTCTGAACTTACACACTACTAGTTGGAACTGCTTCCTCTGGCAAGATGAGCGATGGTGACACTAGAGCATCGTATTCTGAACTTACACACTACGGCTCACACCCTCCGTCCATCTTTCTCTTTATTCATCAACACTTGTTCATCACAAATTAATCTGAGCCAGGAGCTGAGGCTCAACCCCTAGCAACCAAAAGTAGGGGTGTACAAATAAATATATCGAGGAGCTTAATAAGAGTAATGATTGTATATATAGAGCACTAAACCCACAGGGCTAATATAGTGCTCATGGATGAGAGGCAATCAGGTTCAATTCCTTGGATCAAGAACCCTTCACTACTGGTTATGGTACAGCTCCTGGTCCCATGGACTGATGTCGCTGTGGGTCATTGAGCACACTGTATGGCCATTACCCAGGTAACGACTTCAACTGTTAGGTTCAGAAAAATGATAAACCCACATGGGTCGTTGAGCGATCTGAATGATCACTGCTAGAGTAATGAGTGTAATGACAAAGTAATTAAATGATCATAAGTCACCGAACAAGCGTAAGTCACTGAATGATCATAAGTCAGTGGCCAAGTAGTGACTAAGAACCAGGTCTGTGGTTATCTGCCATCACTTGCAAGACTTTAACAACTTTCAAGTTAGAGTCAGACTTGACCACCAGTCTTTCACTGCTCTAACAATAATATTTACATCAAACACATCTCAGTGGAAAGTCTGTAACTAAGAGTTAAGTTTCAGGAGTACCAAGACTCTTGCAAAGTGTACCACTTATTTCACTTAACACACTTAAAAACTTGTAATCACAAGGCAGCTTTAAAGTGTCATTATCATCCTAGTAATGTCTAATTAAACCTCACAATGATTGTAGCCCATGAGAGATGCTATCATTAATGTCCACAGCCTAACACACTGTAACTGCATCGTTAAGTATCATCAATGCATCGGTGATTATGGTTCTTGATGTGCCAGTCTGGTGTTGCTAGTAACTTATGATGGGGCAGGCAAGACACTCTCAAGTTGTCTGTGTTGAGTGACAGATGCTTGAAGTTCAACTATTCCATTTATCTAGCAGGTCCTCAGCTGGTGTAGGTCGGGTGTAGAGTGGGCCTGGTAACCGATGTTTGTAGTGACTGTGTCAACCACTCTAGTTCCTGAGGTTGGACGCGTCTCCGGCCTGCCCGCAGCGATGTGGCTGAGCGAGCAGATCTGGATGAGTGGGACGATGAGCAGCGACTCCACGACTCAACTGGTGACTGTGACTAATAAAGATATACCTCATTAATAAATAAATAAATAATAAACCTTCACACATGTCCAACACTTGGGTGTCTTTACTGATAAAACACATGAGCAACACCTGGGTATCTTTAGATACCCAGATGTTGTACATTATTATTATTATAATCAAAAAGAAGCGCTAAGCCACAAGGACTATACAGCGCTGCAGGGCAGGAAGGAAGCGAGGGCATCAGGTGGCAAAAGGGAGATGGACGAGTAATAGGTTACGGATGACAGCGGGGCAGTGGATGGTGAAAGGGTAAAGGGCAGCAAGAGACTGAACTAGAAAGGGTTGAGGGGAGTGCGAAAAGTATCATCAGGGTTTGTGGAGTAAATCAGTCGTTGTCAAGAAGTCAATGAGAGAGTCAGGATTAAAGGAGGGTCCATCAGCAAGAAGGGAAGGTAAGAAAGAGTAGAAGAACGAAGACAACGTTAGGGGAAAATTTCCCCCCCCCCCCCCCCCCTTCCCCGTTCGTTATAGAGGGGGGCACCCCTAACAGAATTTTGGCCCCTAATCAAATACTGGGATTTTTGACATGCCCCACAGAGAGGAACGGGGGTCCCCTCTCCATGAGATACCCAGGGTTAAGCAAAGTGTCCCCCAATGCGAAGGCGGGAGAGAGGGTCTCCCCCCCTTCAGACTGATGACAAGAAAGGGAAGTAACCATGTTTGGGTTTTAATAGAATAAAAGTTTTTTTACCGAGCAAGTTGCCCCAAACGTTGGCCAAGGGGTGCGAAGGGGGGTTAGCTTTTGGGGAAAAAAAATAGTCCAGAAATGGAACACCTCGATGGGAAAATTTGGGTGGGTTTCATGTACTGTGACCGCCACAAGTGTCTGCCTGTTCATTGCCCTGTACATCGACATGCCGGGGACCCAAAAAAAACCCATATCTTTATGTTTGGTAGAGAAAACGGCGTAGCCAAAAGGGTTGGAAAGGAGAATGGGGTGAGATGTATCAAATTTTTGTATAGCCTTAGACCCACAAAGGGGAGTCTGAGACTACTACAAATAAAGGACACAGGCTTTAGATGGGGAAAACAATAATTTTGGCGGGGCAAGAAGGGCCCCATACAGTTAAACAGTAAAAATGCAGCTGAAGATATAAATGCCCCCCGAAAGCCCGCGGCCCGGGAAACACTGCTGCAATCTGACCCCCGTCTGAAAAACTTAGAGCCACCCGTTTAACACAGCGGTGGGCATGAAAATGGGAGTGGAAGTGATCAAGAAAAAGAGAGCGGGAAACCCACCGTGGGGCATTGAGCTTTCAAAAAAAGGGAAATTTGAGAAAGAACAGCCCCCAAAACAGCGGGAATTCCCCCGGGGGGGGTAGGGAAAAGTGAGATGCACATAAACTATGGGGGTTTTTGGTAACTAAAGGGGAAGACAAAGGGAATGTAGGCAAAAGAAAAAAGGGGGAGGAGCAAAAAAGGGGGCGAACGAATAAAGGGAATGTCAAATAATATCGGTGACCATTCTATTTTATGGAAGGATTGTGTAGATCGTGAGAGGTACATAGTGCGAAGGCAATGGGCATCACACTAAATTCAAAACAAGGTTGGAACATTCGCTTCTGTATAGAGGCTCTCAACAGGGGAAGCCGGAAAAGCCCAAGGAAACAAATGTAATCCTTGGTGATGGATAGATTTAAAGGGGTAGAGAGATTTAGCAGGAGGGGCCGCGGAAAAAAATCGGTCACCATAATCGATTTTTCGATAAAACGGGGGGCTGAATGTAGGGGGAAAGCAGAGTTCGACGATCACTCCCCGGAAAAAATAAAAGAAAGGGGTTTTTAAAACCCTTTGGGGGTTTTTCGTCTTTACTAGTACATCTTACCGTGGGGGTTTTTTGACGTACTAGTACGCTAAATTCTAGCGGCCTCAAATCCCGCGCGAAAAGGTGGTGGGCCTAGGTGGGGAGGGGAAGGGGTTTCTGCGTTTTCAGTGTGCGCGGTAAAAAAAAATCGGGGGACCCAGGGGTCTTTGGGGGAAGGGCCCTCTTAGAAAACCCAAATGTCCACCATCCCTTGGGCGGAAAGGGAAGCTCCTCACCCCTCGGGGAAATTGGGACACTTTTTTTCCCCCTGACAGTTCAAATTAGGGGATGGAAGTGCCAGTGAAGATGATTTTTCGGGGTTTTTAGTGGGGTTTTTTAGGGAAAAACTAAGGGCCCAATAATTCGGTAATAGTGAAGAAAAACCCAAAACCCCCTCACCCCTTCCCCCTCTGGTGCGGGGCCCCTCGTGTTAAATTTTCATTTGGGCCCAAAAACCCCAAGAGGAAACTTCTATTTTCCCAAACCCCCGGGACTCAGTGAGAGCTGGGTGAGATAGTGATAGTAAATATAAAACTAAAATTTAAAATTTTTATTTCCAGTAGGGGATAGTGAAGTGCCAATTTTCCCCCGTGAAGCGTCAGTAAATACGACGAAAATATGCGCTCTGGAATGTGCCATTGTTAAAACCAAAAGGGGAAGGAGTGTACCCTCGGAGTCACCCCGTGGCTGAAAAAAAGGGAACAGACGGGAAAAAATTGACGAAGAAACGTTGAAAAATTGGGGGGAAAAAATGTGCGTGGTGGAAAGGGGGGCCCGGGCGGTGAGGCACCAGCTTTGGGCCATGCTCCCACCCACCCGCTGCCCACTGATTAGAACAAAGGCCACCACCCCCCACTCCCCCACACACCAGCCTCCCAACCACAACCTCCACAACCAAAACCCACCTGTAAATTGCCCAGTCCCCACCACCGACCGACCTGGGTTTTGGCAGGAACTGTCAATTTTTTTTCCAAAAATTCCCCACCATTTGATGGCACCCAAAAAAGTGGAATGGGGCCATCTTGTGCATTTGGGAAAAAATGCCACTGAACTGGAATGTTTCAGTTATTCTTTGACAACCACTATAAAAAATATTGTCATGGAAAGCAACACATACTACGAGTACACCATGGCAAACACAATACTTTCCCCCAAAATCCCCGTCTACCCCCAATGGAAGGAGGCAACGTGGCTGAGATGAAATCTTTTTTTCCCCCACAAAAAATGCTTATGCCACAGGGTTAAAAGGGCCACAAAGTGAAATCATACTGGTCAACAGACCCCCTGATTGCAACCCCAGGTTTAAAGTGATAAAATGCCTTGAATCGATTTGTGCTAATTTTTTACGTATGTTTTCACTTTCAAAAAAAACCGGGCCTGAAAAGAACTGACAGGTTATATAAAGTTTAAAGGAAATGTTTTTTGTGTATCTGAAACAAAATTTTTCCCAATCTAAATTTTTTTTCCCTTCGGGAAGCTTTTTAATTGACGGTTTTGATTCTGTTCAAAGGAAAAAACTCCCCTTTCAAGCATTTAAAATCCCAAAAGAAAGGGGAAAACGTTTTGGTAAAAAAGGTTGTTTGTCTTTGTGATTTGTTACAGGGTCTGGAAATTGGATATTTTTGGGTGTACACGGGAAGTTAACATTGCCAAATCCCAAGGAAGTTATTGGGCATCTCAGGTGATGTGGTTAGAACATTTGATAGAACCTTTCCCTTTGGGTTTTTTTAAAGGGGCATATATTTTTAATAAAAGAAAAATGGTACACAACCCCCTCACTCGGGGATTTTTTGCGAGTGAACATGACAGATTTGGGTGGCACAGTGCGTGCAAATCAAAAACATATCCCCCGGGGTTTTGATGCTGGAAACTCGCAGAGGTGAGGGGCAGGGTTTGCTGCCAATGAAAAATCTGGCTTTTTTCGTGGCATGACAAACGAGATGTCCACTGTTGTCATCAATTCACCCTAATGAAATGGAAAGACAGGGGCAGGCAGCATAGGGGAAAAAAAATGAACCCATTCAAAAACCGCAGCTTTGGTTTGGGATTACACCTTCAACATGCGTTCAGTGGACAAATGTGCATGCAGATTGGGTTTCCCTGATTGTTTTCGCAAGATTTTATAAGTGGTACATCAAACTGTTTTTTTCCCAATCTTGGGGGACATTTCCATGTCAATGCTTAAAATATGTAAAAGATGAGCCCCAAAAAAAACCCACAGTACGGCGAATTCTGTTTGTCTGTCATCAGACAAATAGTATTAAAGGGAACCAAGGAAAGAACCTGAAATTTGGGCCCCCCGCCCACCAAATTATAAACAACTCCCCTGCTCGTCGGAACCCAGGGTTGATCATTTCCTTTGGAAAAACTGCCGGCTACTGTTTTCAAAAAAAAAGGCTCAAAGAGGTGTTAGGGCCCTTTTTCACATACAAAAAAACGCCCAGGACAACGCAGAAAACACTCTTTAAAAATGTGTGAGGAGTGCAAAACCCACTGTGATGACACCATGTTTAAAAGGTTTCACAGGCTGCGAACTTCTAAAAAATGCCCTTGTGACTGTATATTTTTGTATTAAAATATAGAAAAATAGTAATAAACAACTTTCAAAATTGTTTGTTTTGTAAATTTTTTCTTTTAAAAAAAAAATTGAAACAGTGTTTACGCCCTTATTGTGTAGTATTGAAAAAAAAATAACTTTCAAAATTTCTGATAAAGTTGGCCTCAGAGGCCATAAAAGTTTTCCAGAAAAAGAAAAAAAAAAAAAAAAAATTTGAAAATATACATAAAAAAAAAATAGAAAAAAAACCGGGGGGACGGCAGTCGGCTTTTTACCATATGTTGTTTAAAATTTTTGGGAAATTTCAAAACCCCATATCTCGGGAAAATTTTTGACGTTAAAATTTTTTTTTTTTAGCCTAAAATGGGTTTTGAAAAAAATACTCTATTTTTTTTTATAAGAAAAAATATTTTTTTTTTTTTTTGGGAAAATTTGGGGGCCCACCCTGAGAAACGAGTTTCGGAGAGGGCCTTTCGACCCCCAAAAAGGGTTTTAAAAAGGTTTAGGGGCCCGGGTGTGACCCAAATTCCCTTTAAGAGGTAATGTGAGGTTTCCAGGGGTAAAACCCAAAGGTCAAAGAGAAGGCCAAGAAAAACCCGACTGTATTTAC